GGTGAGAGTCCCTCTCCTCCAAAAACAGTACTACAGTCAGAAAGGCAAACCTCAAATATTGTGACCACAGGCAGAAGGGAGAGAAGGCGAGTTATAGTCGTGGAGGAGTCCTTTATTCAGGGAACAGAGGGGCCGATATGCAGGATGTGACCCTCCTCTAAGAGAGGTCTGCTGCCTTCCTGGGGCCTGGGTTAAGGATGTCACCAGGGAAACTTCCCAGCCTGGTTAACCCACAGACTTATATTGCTGGTCCTACGTGTGGGAGGAGAAGAAGCGGCAACACGCAGCCTGAGGGCTATCAAAAGGGACTTTAAGGAACTGGGGCAGACAATCAGGAACTCAGGTGCGCGGTCATAATCTCTTCCATACTTCGCGGTACTGACAGCAATATAGAAAGAAATGGGAGGATACAGGCCATCAACACGTGGCTCTGTGGCTGGGGCCATTGCCACAACTTTGGTTTCTTTGGCAAAAGGAAGTCTTACATGGCACCAGGCATGATAGCATCTAATGATATCCATCCTTCTCAAAGGAGGAAAAGGGCCTTGGGTCATGAGCTAGCAGGGCTCATCAAGAGGGCTTTAAACTAGGCTTGAGGGGAGAGGGAGGAGTATCATCAGGTGATAAGGTAGGGTAGGGGATGGCCTGTCATGCCGCTCACAGCAACCTAACTCCAGAGCCTGTGAAAGGCAGCCTAAGCCTGAAGAGACTAAAGGAGAAAATAAGAGAACTTCTGAAGGCCTGCATGGTCAAGGTGCAGGTGTCCCAGCTAGAATGGGAAGTACATTGGGAGCCCAACTCAAATGCCTCTCTATAAATGCACCAGCATAAACAAGCTGAACTAGAGATGCATGTGCAATTGCAGGGTCATGATCTCATCGCAATTACTGAGACATGGCGGGACAGCTCTCATGACAGGAATGTGACCATGGATGGCTTTAGGCTTTTCAGGAAGGGCAGGCCAGGAAGATGAGGTGCCAGAGTTGCCCTTTACATGAGACAGCAACTAGAATGTACAGAGCTCAGTATACGGGAGGATAAAGGGAGAAGCGAGAGCCCGTGAGTGAGGCTGTAAGGGCAGACCAACAGCAGTAACACTGCTGTGGGTGTTTACTACAGGCTGCCTGACCAGAGACAGGAAGTGGATGAGGCCTTCTATAGGCAGCTGCAAGAAGGCCCACGATCCCAGGCCCTGGGCCTTGTGGGTGACTTTAACCACCCTGATGTCTGCTGGGATAGTCACACAGCTAGGAGCAGACAGTCCAGGAGGTTCCTGCAGAACACTGCAGATAACTTCTTGATGCAGGTGGTTGATGAGCCAATGAGGAGACAGGCGCTGCTGGACCTAATACTGACAAACAGAGATGTTCTAGTGGGAAATGTGAGGGTTGAGGGCAGTCTTGTCTGCAGTGGCCATGAGATGGAATTCATGATCCTGTGAGGAGGAAGCTGGGCAAGAAGTAGGATTGCAGCCCTGGACTTCAAGAGACCTTCTGACCTCTTTAGGGAGCTCCTTGGAGGAATCCCCTGGGTCAGGGTCCTGGAAGGAAAGGGGGGTCCAGGAGAGTTGGCTACTATTCAACCACCACTTTCTCCAAGCTCAGGAGTGATGCATTCCTGAAAGAAGAAGTCGAGCAAGGTGAGGGCAGAGGCAGGAGACCTGTGTGGATAGGCAAGGAGCTGTGGGGGTGAACTTAATGCTAAAAAGAGCATGTCCATAATGTGGAAGGGCCAGGCCACATGGGAAGAATATAGGAACGTTGTCAGAGAATGCAGGGATGCAATGAGGAAGGCCAAGGCCCATTTGAAATTAGTGAAATGTGCCCCTGTGGCCAAGAAGGCCAATGGGATCCTGGCCTGCATCAGGAGGAGCGTCACCAGCAGGTCGAGGGAGGGGATCCTGCCCCTCTGCTCAGCTCTTGTGAGGCCGCACCTGGAGTATTGGGTGCACTTCTGGGCTTCCCAGCACAAAAGGGATGTGGAGCTTCTACAGAGGGTCCAGCATAGAGTGATGAAGATGATTAAGGGACTGGAGCATCTATCTTGTGAGGAAAGAGTAAGCAAGCTGGGCTGGTTTAACCTAGAGAAGATTGAGAGGGGATGTGTATACAAGTACCTGAGGGGTGAGTGTGGGGAGGATGGGACCAAACTCTTCTCAGTGGTGGCCAGTGACAAGAGAGGGGGTAATGGGTACAAGTTGAAACACAGGAAGTTCCATCTCCATATGAGGAAGAACTTCTTTACTGTGAGGGTGACAGAGCCCTGGAACAGGCTGTCCAGAGAGGTCGCTGTCTCCAGCGATCTTCCAAACCTCCCTGGATGCCACCCTGTGCCATGTGCTCTAGGTGTTCCTGTTGGAGCAGGGGGGTTGGACTAGAAGATCTCTAGAGGTCCCTTCCAACCTCAACCATGCTGTGATTCTGTGAACACTTAAAACACTCAAAGCACCTCATAGCAAATGCATTTTCAAGCTGGACTGCAGGTGAACAGATCCAATATCAGCCACCTTTATGCAACTTTGTTACAGCTTGCCAGCTCACCATGAGAACATCCAAGTCACTTCAGAAATAACCCCACTTCTTCAGCCAAATGTTGTGTCAGCAATTTCCTGACACAGTGAAGTCAACAGGGATTACTTGTATGGTCCCAGCCAAAACCACCATGACTGAGACACAGCAGAGGTCCTCTGAGCAATGCAAAGCTGGAGGCTTACTCTATATGGGGCTCCATACACTCAAACATCACAGTTTTTATAGCTTGAAGCACAGCACTGAGCTACTGCAAGCTGAGGTCTATGGCCGTTGTCAGATCTACAGCCTTCACATATCAAAACACAGTAAGCAATGAACTCGCTTGCACTGTGATTGAATTTGTCTTAATAAGGTGACCTGGATCCACTTATATTACAGACTATGAGGACTATGTTTGTGCTAAAACACAAAGCACAGATTTCTCTGAAAAAAAAAAAAAAAAAGCTAGACAATTTCTGGTGTGCACAAGCAAAGAACCATTAAAAAACAAACCCATCACTAAACCAAGAAAGCAGCCCTCTGATGCAGAGTGGCAGAATACATCCCTCCCTCCAGGGCAGCCAGGCCCAGGTTTTCAGGTAACTGCTCCATGAACTACAGTTGCCGTTATATTCCCAGGACCTGAGGGGATGTGGTTTTTAAACCCACTTTGTTCCCAAGGTGTTTTCCAAAGTAGCAGCACTTCTGCAGATGCTGCTGTCCCATGTACTACGAGCTTTTGGAGGAGTGCCAAGCTATTTTGCCTGAAATTGCTTGCAAGGGCTGGCTGCTGAGAAGTCAAAAGGTCAGCATTTTGCATGGTGATTTTGTTAAAATTATGTCAAAGATAAAGGGAGAAAAAGGTGGTGGAGGAAGACGAGTCTGCAGGCAATATCGCTGTTGGAAGCAAAGGCTGAAGCAAACTTGTTCAAATTTTTTTCTATTTCCTCAAAGAGTTACTGCATGGAGAGGGAAGGGAGGCCTTTTGTAGGGCCTTATGCCAACCCCATGTAAGAAAGCAAGGCAGCATCTTCTTTAAATTCTTTTTCTATTTTTTTATTATTTAATTTCAAGTCTTAGAGAACTCCAGAAGTGACGTCAACTGCTTCTCACCCATTACCATTTTGTTACAAGAAACCACCACAAGACACTGGAACAAAAGTTATCTATTTTATTACAAAACCAAAATCAAACAGATGTCTTTCAGTCTACCAAACAATGCCATAGGCAGACATGTGCTGGGGCAGTTTAAGTTCAATACAGATTTAATCTTGTGCTTGAAGTAGTTCCCCCAAAAGGCCATGGAAAGCAGTGCCATGTTAATGCTATTCCCTCCAACTCTCTACTTCCCCAATCAGAAAAAAATAATTACAAAAGCGAGGCATTCTGCTTCTGGCAGGAAGAGACCATGACATGCACTGTGGATCCCTGCTTCTCTCTCCCAGCTGCTGTCAGGTATTGCTCAAAGCAGAGCTGTAGAGATCAGGAGAGATGTCCAGGGTCTGCTTTCAGGTGCAGCTCTGACCCTCACCCCGGCCCAGCTGGGGTGGGATGCTGCTGCTGCAAGGCAGAGCAGAAGATACGTGCCACGTCCCACAGAAGGGCATTGGATCAGACCTGCCTCACAGCCAGGGGCCCCCTGGCCAGTTTTGGGCAGGAACAGCAAGATGAGAAGAGGGAAGCTGGTGATGAACGCACCAACCACCAACTGCTTGGCCATGGATGGCTGTTTTTTCCCAGTTGGGACCAGGACGGTCTGTGTGAACTTCCAACACACAAGCACATAACCCGTAACCTAGCTCCTGCCCAGACAGTGCACATGGATGCTGGTTGGGCCTTGCACAGCTGTTGCCAGAAGCTGTTCCAAGGACTGTGCACACAGAGCAAGTGAAGATGCTGTGACCCAAACTCCTTGTGTAAAGATAGAAAGGGAGACGATGAAAACCTTGGACCACAATCCATTAGCAAAGTCAGTTCCAGCACAGAGACATGGATGCTCACCATACCGGTGCTAACATCAACAGCCACTCTTAGCTTGGCCTCCTTGGAGAGCTGATTCCATTTCAATCGCAAACTGCATGGGAATGCCAGCCTTTTAGAGGGCAGGGAGGAGCTCTGCAGTAGGATTTACATTGCAGACTACAGCATGGGTCGGCTGGTTTACAGGCATTTCCAGAAGAAAAGATAATGACTTTTAGCAGGTTTGTGCTCCCCCTGGTCTTGTGGGGCACTGACTTCCTCCAATGGCTGGATGAGATAACTCATCCAATCTGCTACTTTTGCTGTATGTAGATATATTAAAAGAAAAAAAAAAGAAAGAAAGAAAAAGAAAAAGAAAACCCAGAGCTTTTTATCCTAAAACTAACATATAAAGAAAAGGTGAGGGTTTTTTTTTTTTTTTGCACAATTGTGTTCACTCTTCTCTCCTACAATAGAATTAGTGAATAACAGGGACATTTATAATTATACACTAAACCAAATAATTTCAACACACAGAATATGTCCCAAGTACTTAAAAGAAATTATGTAATTGAGAAGATGGGAGGTGGCAGACCACAAAAATGCATCTATTATTGTATGTGAGGAACCATGAAGATCCAAACAGAAGGAGCTGCTCTTGTTAAAGAGGAGAGTTTTTCTTTACATTGTGCTGGCCAAACCATAGGCTTCAGAGGTCATGAGAGTGTTCCTAATCATGTCAAATGCTTTAATCAGTTCCAACCTACTTCCCACGATACGAGCTACTATCAATATTAAGAAGTTACTGGAGTTTATTCTCTTAACTTTCCATTTCGCCAGCGTGGCTCTAACCAGGTGACACTCCTGCTGCGACTGTTTCTCATGCTATCACAATGACATCCTGCAGCATGAAGGGACCGTGTCACAACTTCTTTCACCAAAGCAGCAAGGCCTTACAGGGCAAGCCCTATCTCTATAGTAATGCAGTGTTGTTGCAGGCAATTGCTGAAGTGACCCCATATTAGCATGGCACGATGCCATCTCTGACTGCAGGTTTTTGGTCCCCAGATGAATGGCGCAAGGATTCCTACACGGGAAGGGGAAAGGTGCTCTGAATATCCCCTACAAATGGGCAAGTAAATCAGACTCTCAGGGACCAGCAGGGACTTCTGCACTGACAAATACATTCTTAGCTCTGCAGCAAAACAACAGGCAGCCTGATGCTGGTTTTAGCAGACTTCACAATCTTTTTGTTGTTATACATCACACAGATGAACAACTTGTGGGAGAAGACTTTGTTCTCTTGACTCGACTGGCTCCTACAGTTCCCACATCCTTACAGTGTTGGATTCCCAAGACATGGTAGATACTTGCTAAGCATGTCTTCTGACCTGCATTTGCAATTCATTTCTGCCCAAACTGCCACAGGTGCAGAAACTACCTTTGTATTTCCTTAATACAACCCTTATCTAAGCCTACATAAAGCAGCTCTGCAGTACACCAATAATGAGGTGTAATCTGTGCTCCCTCATAAATCCAATGCCTGCATGTTGCAAATTGCTTTGCACTTAGAACTGATGGGGTTCAGCTGCTCCCAGGAAGCATTTGTTATCTGGCTGTGGCACTGTGTGAACATCTGTGGACATAAGACATGCTGATATGCTCATACCTATGTGCACAGGGATGTCAAGGACATCAGTTTGCAAATAAAGGATGACTTCGTGGCAGAAATCATTGCACTGCTGTATCCATTAAATGCAAAGTGTCCCTCTAACTCTAACAGCCTTCAAAAGCAAAGGGAGGGACAGAACAGAGACTCCAACCCCTGTACAAGACAACTGTACAATTTACATATATATTTATATACAGTATATAAAAATCTCTTTGAGTTCCAGTGAACTCAATTTTAAGTCGTCAGTAGCTGTTCCAATTTTAGAAAGTCTTGATCCTGTCATTTCCCGCCCCCCTTCCAAAGCATTAGATAATGGTATCGAGAAGAAATTAAAAACATACTCAAACCCAAACCAATTATTAAAAAGTGCAAACGTTCTGGGTGCCACTTCTGCTACGCTGGATGTTGCTGATGCTGCCTGCTTGCTCACAAGCAGCAAGGTGTCTGTCCATCGGTTGCTGGGTCGTTCTTTCCTTTGGGTCGGCTCTTGCCTTGCCTTCCCTGCTTCTGCTCCTACACCAGGCGGCCTACTGAGAAGGACAGGGTAGGCAAGGCACACACACAAGCAGGGAAAGGGGGAGAAAGGCAAATTAAAACCCAAATGGCAGCCAACTGAGGTAAAACACAGTAGGGCCTCTGTTGCGGCCACGAGCCCCAGAGGGCTGGGATCCCAGAGCAAGCTGTGAGGCTGAGAACGGCGAGGGGCTGATGAGCCCGCCTGGCTGAAAAAACAGTGCTGAATGAGTCACACAGAGCCCTAGGGACTGATGTATTTTTAACCATAAACCACCACTCTCCCTCCCCCTTCTTGGGAATGGGCATGCCGTCTGGACAAACAACTGGTCTGACATCTCCTCCATTGCTCTTCCTCCTGCGATGGTTGATGCAGAATCCCACTGATTTAAGGCAACTCTGCAACTACTGACCCTCTTGAGTAGCAGCCAGCTGGTCTCCTTCCCTGACAGGCAAGCAGGCCTTCCAGGAGGAAGGAATTCAAGGAGAGGCCAGGCTGCTTCTCCTCATCCCTGCAACAGCAAAAGGCAGCGGCCTCCCTGCTCAACCATCATGCACCATGCACTGATATCCACCATGCTACTGAATCTGCTGAGGGGATTCTTGGAGCAGGCAGTTCCAGGGATCTTCTAAGCTACTAGTGTCCCAGTAGAGGGTAAAAAGGCAATGCTTTGCAAGTCAGATGGATGTGCATCACCTCCCAGTTATATTGACCAGTGCAAAATTATTCGGGAAAATCACATCTGAAATTGACTGCAGAATTTTGCTCTCACAATGCTCTATGAGCACATCATAAAAATAGATTAACTTCAATGTCTATACCTGCAATACAATGCATGAGTTGGGGAGGGAGGTGACCTGCATTACACAAGGGAAGCTGAACGACGAGGAAGGAACTTGGAGTCATGGCAGCACATGCAGCTCTGGGAATGCTTCTGCTCAAGTTACTACATTCCCACCTCTTATGAATACCTTTGTGTTCCAGCTATTTCTGTATTACTATTTGTAAACACAGGAAAGCAGGGGAGCATGAATTTTGAGGGAGGAGAGGATTATGAATGTCTATCATACAAGAAAAAAGAAATAAACATTTTAACAAGATACTCACTGAAGGGGTTAAGGCCTTGTCTTTTTCCATTGGAGAAGCTGCTCAGGCTACCTGCAAAATCCAAAAGCCACGTTAAAGGCAATAAATGTCATTGCATGACAAAGAGCTCCTTTGAGTCCTCACATATTGAGTGCTGCCAGCACTCCTTAAGTTTCATATACAAGAGTCAGAGAAATATGCCTGAGATGTCAGCTGTTAGAATATCTTGCATTGTAGTATCTCAGCTTCCAGAAATGCAGAGGTTTGGTATGGATAAGAATCAGTAAGTACAAAATTAAACTGAGGAAGAAGAAAGAAGAAGAAAGGAGGATGCAAGGAATGACATGAAGTTCCCAAAAACAGTTTTTGCTAATGGCAAAAGAAGAAAAAATGCAGGCCCTTGCGTGTGTCCTATAGAGAGGGGCAAGCAGTAAAGTGAAGGTGTTGGGAATATAGATAGCCCATCATATTAAATCTCTACTGACCAAAAGTTTAGACCAAATGATCAAACAGGGGCCTAAAATCAACCCCTGAACTCACACCCAGAAGGAGAGGAACAGACTGCACAGCTGGGACTGCATCATGAGATGTAGGAACAGGCACCCTACACCAGATGGAGCTAATGCCAAGGGCTTCACCCCTTGACATTAAACCTGGTCCTAGGAGGTGCTAGATATATGTAACTCACGATTCAGGCGTTTGGCACTCTTGAAAGCTTATTGAACTTCCTATCATCTACTTGGTCTGGATTTCAGACAAGGGCCCATCGACTGGAAATGGGAACTTCTGCTTGCAGCCAGCACCAGTAGGCATGCTGTCACCCTTCACTCTAGCCAGGCCAAACACTGATTTCTGATTTGTGTGTGTCCATCTGACATGATCATGCAGCTCACTTCACATATCTAAGTAGTTTAACTTGCACTAATACTCACAGGTGCTCACACTCAATGAAAAACAACAACAACAAAATTTGTTCTGTGCAAGAGATGAATAAAAAGAAGCTTAAAGAAATGGGGAGAAAGGGAAAACCCCGTGGGAAGACAGGAGGGTGAACTGTAAGAAAGAAATGGAGCCACTGGAAAGGAAAAGAGGGAGCAGGAAATAGTGGTGACCAAGTTTAAAATAGATCACAAAGTTAAAATCCCTGTTGGCTTTAAGAATTGTTAATAAGAGGAACCATATAAAGGTGGTAAGTTATTTCAACACCCCTGAAGCCCAGCCTCGTATCAGCCATCTGTCCTGGCAAGATCAGAGGAACGCCTGTTAACTCGTTTCTGCGCCTCTCAATAAAAAGCAGGGCTCTCTTGCCCAAAAGCAGATCCTTCCAGAGCTAATTGGGACTCACCCAGGGGCCTGGCCATAAAAGCCTCGGACCTTTATGAGCCTCCGTCCTTCGGCTTATTGGCCACTCGCAGAGCGGGGCTCTTCCTGCGGCTGCCAAGCCACGCGGAGGCCCCTAGAGGGAGCCGCTCCAACGCTCAGCCCTGGCCACGGCGCCTGGCTCCAGCGCTTTTCCAGGCGCCCGCGTCCTCGGGGCGCGCACAAGCACACATCCGATTGCTAACCCCCGCCATGAAATACCACATGGATTGAAAACCACGGCACATGCTCTCTTTTCCAGGAATTGCGTCGCTCCTTGGCCCGTCGCAGCTCCCAAGGCTTGTGCCCTGGCTTCCAGAAGCAAACGCATCTCCCGCCGCTCGGCATACGCGCGGCAAAACGTTCACTCTCCCTTGCGAGGGTTTTCACTCATATCTTTGCTCCCGCTGTGGGATGAGCTCTGGCTGTGGCCAGGTTTTGCTGGATTGTGCTTAATCCCCTTCTCCGCTCACGCAGCCCGCCCGAGTCAACAAGAACGTGGCAGGAAAAAGCGCTGGTGCCCCGGGCAGCCGGGACTATTGGGTGCTGCTTTGCCCAAGACTCGCGTATCTTCAGAAAGGCATGGGAGACTTCACCTGAATTGATACTGAAGTTTTAAATGACACTTTTCAGTCCGAAGGGAAAGAATATCCCCTTTGGTCAGCTGCTTTCGGTATAAGCACGGGCCAATGTGCACATCTACAGAAAACAAACCCTACCAAAACACGATATTGCTTAATCAACCCACATTATTTAATGAAGGCATTTTGATCCCGTGCTCCTGATAGTAGGTCTATTGCCACAGAGAGCTGTTGGGTTCCACCCCAGAAGCCTTCCTGGCCTGTGAAACATACCCAACACCTCCAGTCTGACAAGCCTTTGGATGGCAAAGCAATCGTGGGATGTGAACTGGCAGAAGGAAACTTCTTCCCTGCTTAATCCCTTAGCTGCTCTTTGGGCATACACAACATGCTGACTTTGTCCTCTAAACTTGGAAAAATATAGAGGTAAAACTGAACTCCAATATTCTGCAGCCAGCAATTAGCACAAGTCTTGCTCAGATCTACAGTTCTGAGATCATTAGACTCCAATTAATGTTGGATTCAGTAACTTTCCAGCAAAGCTTTGCAACATGTGTCCATCTCCTCTCAAGGACCATGTCTTTGGACTGATGCATAGAGCTAAATTTGCTCTTTGATCACAGATGGCTTCCCCCTTGACTCAGGCTGTGCAGACTGCACTGATGAATGCTAACTTCTAACAGGTTGTAAATCAGTCTGTTTTGCTTCCACAGTCCTTCAAACAGATAATTGTCGATCAAGTGAAAGAAAGGAGTGTTTCTGGTACAGTAAAAGCTACAAACCTCCCATCTGTTCTGCCCCAGTTTAAGGAACTATTTGCAAGCTTTCGCAAGCCACTCGAATCTGACTTTCAGTGGCTTCTCCAGCCTGACTGCTGAGAAGGGCACCTCTCCATCAGACCTGCCCCTGATGGAAATGAGTCTGATGTAAGCAGAGGGGAAAGAGCTGTGCTAAATGGCCACCAGACCTACTGGACTTCTCACTAGTTTCTTGGGTCATCACAAACAATAGGTTTTCTTTACTGAAGCACCACTGATTGACAGTGCAAACATATTAGGTGACGATATGGATCAAGTACCTAGTGAGGAGAGAAAGAATGAACAGAACTATGAATCTCAGACAGATTTGATCCTAGGCTCAGATTCAGGTTTGTCCTTATAAATATCTGAATACTCCTGCTAAATCATCTCACATAAAACTTGTTTAATCTAGTGCCCAAGAGGCATATAACAGTGCTAATTTCTGCTCTGTGTTTCCACCAAGCAACACTATTTCCATGTTTGGATGGAACTGTCCAGAAAAAAAATAAACAAAATTGAAAAGTAAAAATCTGACAAAAAATATAGAAAACATTAACATTTGTTTTTCTCATCATCCATCCAGAGATTCTTTGAATAGAAAGCAAGGGAAACATGTCATCTACCACATCCTTTAAAAAGGCCCATCACAAGGTTGCTTACTGCATCCCTAGAGTCTGCTCCTTCAGTTATTTTCTACTGGTTAGCACCTGCTACCTGCATTGCTCTTAGCCCTCTATATTGCTTTCCCCAGTCATTTCTCCCAAGGGCTCCCCCTCCCATGTAATTCAGCCATGTATCTTTGATCCCTGAGGCTTCTTGGGTCCATAACAGGCAGGTGAAGCTGTGTGATACAAGGTTAGAGCCCCTTTTTGCACACATAATCCTGTCCTCATGCAGTGAAAGAAATCAAGAAAGTCCTCAACAAATAGTACAACAATCAGATATAATGACAGATCTCACCTGCTTTCTTTTCCCTTCACTCCAGATCAAAGATGCTTATTTTCCTCCTCCTTTTTTTTCTCCCTCCTCCCTTCCTAAATTCTGAAAACTCATTTGGCCAAGGCATCAGATTCCAGAGAGTCTTATCCCAGGCCAGATAGCAACAGAACTCATTTGGCATATTGATCTTACTGGGAAGGCAATAAAATTAAGGGACAGAGTTGCTATTTTGGCCTGTCATTCCTCATGATGACTAAGAAACAGCATGCACTGAGCCAGGGAAAATGAATGTTTCTCACAGCTGATGAGTAATGTGCCAGGTTTATTATTCTAACATGTTTGCAAAACACCTAAAAGAGGCAACTTCCCAATACCCAAATGCACTGACTCCCTGCCTATTTGTGCTAAACCTAAGTAAAGAAACTCAGGAAAGGTTAAACCTGAAGAAAGCTACCTACCCTTCCCCACCAACCTGATGGCTATAACAAGATCACTCTACACAGCCAGACACCTGCACAGGAAATGAGCCTGTTTGCCTCCCTTGCTAAGCAAATCTGTCTACAGTCAAGAATGACTGATAATTATTGAATTTGGGTTGAACAGTTTCAATTCATAAAAATTCCCAAAATACTGATTTGTCTAGATCCCAGCAGAAGATGAGGTAAAGATGAAAAAAAAAGAGGAAAAGGAAGAAGGGTAGCTTGGTTGTTCAAGACACTAAGCAGAAGGAAAAACAAAAAAATATTGGCATGCCTTATTTCTCTCCCAATCTTAAGCTGCAATTCAACCTTGGAAAAAAAGACAACAGCACAGTCCCACAATTTGTTTCTGAGTTACTCTTCTCTCTGTCATCCACTCTCCTGCATATTTGATTTAGCAATGAAAATAAATATTTTTTTTAGTCAACAAGATCTCAGGAGAAGGACTCTCTGCTGGGTCATACATCATCCAGCTTACATATTTCAGACAGCAGAATACGGTTAGCAGTATATTATTCAGGAAGTTGGCTTGATCCGAACTACAGTTTCCAAGGACTTGTACAGTATAAGTAGAGTTCTGGACAAGGTTCATTATTTTGACTTAAATCTCTATAGTGCTTAGCACAAGTGTCTTTAAGACAGAGCTGTAAAAAAAAAAAAAAAAAGAAAAAAAAAAGAAGAAAAGAAAGAAAACCAACCAGAAAGAACTACATTTGAATCACCTAGTAGGTAACTGCTTCCTGAGTTTGCTTTAACTCCATTTAAATTCTTCATTCTCATGTAACAGGAAAAGAAAAACACTTGCCTCCTTCCTTGCTTACTCCCAAGCAGCCCTTCAGCTCTTGCAGTGAGATAGACTTGTCCTTGTTGAGGTCACAGTAGTCAGTGAAACGTCGGGCACATTTCTTGGGCTTCGCTTTCTTCTTCACGTAACGCTTGAAGGGCTTCAGCTCCCGCTTGTTGATGTCACTGCTGCTGTTGTTGTCCAGCTGGCTGAAGTACCAATGCACCACTCGCTCCTCCAGCGTGTGGCTGGGGTCTGGCTCAGAGAACCTGGAAGGCAGGAAGCACAAGCCCAGAGGAATGGGGTGCTTTTATCAACAGGCAAGCACATGCCAAGGAGCCAGAGCTGCTTCCTGAGTCATAAACACCCTATGCCATATTTAAGGCAGGATAAGTATGCATACCTTATAATCTCCTCTCCTAGTTGAGCTATTTTGAGAGAGATTAACTTTTTCTAAACAGATTAACTTTTTTGTCACACTAACAAGAGATGCCAAGAGGGTTCTGGAGACCAGACCTGCAACTCAGGTTCTCCTGACATTCATTGCTGAAACTTGGCCTGTTTCTGAAAGGATTCTCTTTAAAAAATGAACAGCAGCTTTGAGGGTCCTTTGGACCCTTGGGCTACCCCTGAAAGTACCAACAGGAGAGTTATGAATGCCAACTATCATGGTAGCTTCTGTGATAACAACACCCAAACTTCAGAAAGAGAACAAATTCATTTAATGCAGGACATTTACAATCTGAAAATGTCCTTGGCATGAGGCAACATTCCTACTGTGTCTATTTATACGATCTGAACTCCTGTGCTGTGTTTGCAGCGTATTTAATGCTTTTCACATGGTTGATTTATATACAAGAATTCCACAGCAGACAAGCACCACAAATCCATTAACAAGCAACACTACAGAACCAGCAACTTCATTCTGTTACATTTCTTACTCATTCTGGTATTACAAGTTTGACATTATTTGGCTCCCAACTTCCTCCTGTGGAAAACAACAAAAAAGATCAGGAAGGAGAAAAAAAAAAAAAAACAGTTGAGGATGCAGGAGTCGAGAATACTGCCATTCACTTCCAAGCCAGTACTGAGCAAGCATGGTTATGTCAAGCACCGTGTAAGCAGTATCCGAGTATGTGGTATTTGCTGCAGCAGCAGGGAGAAAGGAGCTCATCCTCTGGGATGTGAAGGGCCAGGGGAGAAACCTTTTCTAAAAGACAGATTTCTCCAAGAATTGCTCTCAGACAGTCCTCTCTCTTTGTACCAATAGACTAAGTGCCAATAGACTAAGCTGAAATATTAGAATCATAGAATAGGACTAAATATTTAGGACTAAATTAAACTGTTAAATAGGACTAAATATTTAACTGTTACACTGAAAATTGCTTTCAGGGGATTAGAAGAGAGACAAACCTTTTGACTTTCCAAGATGATCAATTTTGCCCCTAGAAAGCAGCTACAGAACCAAACCACCACCCTCCCTCACTTCCTTAGCAACGTACATAACCAGTGACAGGGAGCCAGCAAGAGGCAGAAAGCAGGCACTGGAGTTTACGTGAAGACTTATCCTTGATAATCTTCTCTAACAGTTTTGCAAATGAGAACACAATTTAGAAGGGTAGCCCCTTAATCCAGGGGCATCTGGAAGCATGACAAGTATAAAAACACAGGAGAGAAGAAAATAAACTGCACAACCTTTTTCCTTAGGTTTTACTTCTGATATTTCCATCATTTAATTCTTAGTTGAAAAGCAGCTTGGCACTCAGTCACAGCATCTGGTCAGTGTACAGTGCAATAAACACTGGGGTGAGGAAGAAGAGGTTGGGAACTGAATTTGGCTTAGCTTTTGGAGCCAAAATAAAAGACAAGCCCCTCGTGCCACTTATGGACAAGCAGATTTGGAAAGACCTTCCCAGAAAGCTAAAGAAGTGCCCAGACTTTTCAGCACCCTGAAATTGCATGTGAAGAGCAGGATGACAGGCGAGAATAAAAACACATCCTGTCACTTGTTTTTATGACATTTAGGAACACAGTCATTGGCCTTTTTCCCTTTTGGAAGTAAGCTGGCTATCATTTGAAGACTAGCTTGTTTCCAACAGCTACAAGCAAGAACTAGAAGTTCTGTATTGCAAGGGCAGATCTTCTGCTTTTGCTAAGATATAGGAACACAACCTGATCTGTGGTGTGTGTGCACCTTGGCTTGCCCTTGGCTCTGACCTCCATTTCCTGAAGGCCAAAACTAGTGAGGCAGAAATAGAGAAAAAAGCAGAGCATCCCCAGAACCAAGAACAGAAAAACCCACAGGAACACAAGCTTCTCTCTACCTGCTGAAGAGTCACTTAAAAATGGAGGGAAAAGTACCTGCCTTTTAGAGCACATCAAGAGAGGGAATATAATTCCCCTTGGTACTTCCATAAAGAAAAACTAGGAAATGCACGGGTTAATACAAATGCCTCATTCATGAGGTGATGATGTATCTATCCTAGCCATTAAACACATACTGAGTGTTCATGCTGAAAGTTAGAGCATGCTAATGGAACGAAAGGGAATTCATTTAACTTCTGAGACTGTAGGAGGAAGGAAGCCATTGCCATTACTGACTTTTTATCACTTTCTGTTGGCTGGCTAAGCAGTATTGCAGTTCCCGTGTTGGTTGCCTATTCTTTCCAGTGCAGAATCATAGCCCTGAAAGTATTTTGAGGAGCCACAGCCATCTCAGTGCAGCCTGATCTACTTGGCTGATTGCAAAATCAGGTGATAGACTGAGATGACTGAGGTTACAACAGAATACCCAGTTCATGAAGCTGATGGCTGATACTACAAGACATCAGAGCTCTATCCATGAAATATGATTTTATGGGAATTCACAGCATTGCTAACCACCTAGCTTTGATCATGCACCATGACAACATACATACTGGGTCAACTGAAATGTCAGCTGAATCAGAAATTTCACTGAGCCTTCCAAGAGAATTTCTCTCTATTGTCTCTCCATCCTGTTGCAAGAGAAATAAAACAGCCCTCAGAGGCACACATCGTTTGTTGGGCTGCTTCTCCACTCATTCAGACCATAAAGGAATCAAAACAAACAAGTGAGAGCAAAACTGCTCTGTACACTCTCGACTCCCAGCAGGAAAACATCTCTTGCTCTAATGCTAGTCACATGAAAATTCACTGAATTCCAATCTCTTACTCCAGTGCAGTAAAGACTTTGTAAAAGTCTAGTAAAGAGACCATACCAAAAGCTGACAAGTTTCTCAGCCTTGTCATGTTGACCACATTTCAACTGTACCTGCTTTTCCCTCTGAATGTACTCTTTTACACCATGGCAAAACAACCCACCTTAATGGATGATTAATAATTCAGACAAAGAAACCAAAAAGGAAGGGGGAAAAAAAAGACAACAACAGAAACAAAGCAAAAACCACCATCAAAAACAAAACAAAACAAAAACCAGCCTACATTACCTTCTTTGCCCTCATATGTGGTTATATCTGCCAATGGAAGTAAATCATGGATGGAGGTATGTTTATCATTCAAAATTAGGAGTGGGGGGGAATATTTAGAGCACAGAGAGCCTGCCTCTGATACGTACCCATGGTGCCGATGCAAAGGCCGCTACAGGGGAACCTGAACTAAGTCACTTACCAAATCTCAGTGCTGGAGGAGCAATGAGCTCTAAGGTCATTCTCCAAATCTCGGCACGCAAGCTAGTAGATGTAGCCACACTATGCAGCATAAACCCACCAGCAGGGATACCCACCAGCATAAAACCAGCTAGCAGGGAAAGGCAGCATGGTCTGTCATTAATAGCATGAGACAGGTATCCACTCTGTTTTCCTCATTTTTGACCCTGTAAGTAGACTTTTCTTCCTCCTACTGTGCTATCACCTCCTTCATAGGAGAAAAATATTTCTCAGATGACTAGTGCTTGGAGATATCCAGGTTAACTTACAAGCTATTACTTTTAGCAATACTACTTTGCTAGCAGAAGTACGTTTCCGTTCATCTTGATCTTCATTATCATCTGGCAAAACCGGGGTGCAGGCACAAAGCAAAGAGACTATGAAAAAACAGTATATTTTTGCAGCTGCACTGAATTCTGGAGCAGAAAAACACGGTAAACTATATGCCAAAATGCCAAATGGACAGCTTTTCTGAGATGCACTCTGCATACATGCCATAATGCTTTCCAGCCTAGCAAGATAGGAGGGAGTTAAGTCAGTGGGAAGGACCAGGAAAGAAGGAGATGTGTAAAGCGTAAGGTACAAGAGAGTGGCAATGTCAGGTGCTCCCCACATACAGTGGGCAATCACGTTATCCTCCATAGGTCTGCACTGTCAAAGCACAATGTGCCCCCAAAACACTTCTGAGTAAAATGAAGTCCATTCTTACCAAAGTTTCTGTGGAGGTTTCTGTGACCCCAAAACATTTTGCAAGCATATACACCTTGTTTGGCTCTGCTGCCAGTCAAGAGATGGATGCGAACGAAGCTAAAGAATTGCAAGATAGGACCCATGGGAATTATGGACTAAGATCCCCAGTGTGAGAGGCCGAAAGTGGTAAGAGTTTAATAACTTATGGTATAAGTCATACTTGCTGCAGCTCTGCTTCCACTTCTTGCTCTCCTTTTGTTCTTCTCTGCAGCTGCCTGTCCCAAAGTTAAAAGCTGTAACTGTGGAACTCCGCTTGAGTGTAAGAGGATTACTCTAATGAAATTGCAAAAGGATTGCAAGCCTGTTTTCCCTCATTCTCTTTCCTGTAGCAAAAGAACCAAGCTAACACATGAATAAGCTAAACAAACTCATTATGGAGAATTGATAATTCCCTCCACAGTTAAAACTTAAGTTATCTTCCTACTACAGGCTCCATTTTAACCTCTCCTCTATCTAAGCATGCAATATTTTTCTGAACAAAACTTTGCTGAAGTTTGGGGGATAAATCATTTAGAAAGCTTAAAAAAATCGTTTGGAAGGTTTAAGAAACATCTCTCTTCCCCCATTGACTTTTCAGAGGGCCTCCTCTTACACTAACTCTCTCGATCTTTAATTAGGCTAGAATTTCCATAGGAGCATAAAGAGAATTTGGTATCCAACTTCAATTGAAATGCAATAGGAGTTGGGCATTAACTTTCCTATACTGTTTGAAAATGTCAATCTTTATTAAAACATGGCTCAGCTTCAGAACACCCTGGAGATGTGCCGAGCTTTGCTTGTCTGCTTCAGACTGCTCAGCTAGAGCATGAAAGGGAACCTTGGGGGCAATTTTCTGAAGGACTTTTTAGGGCTATTACGTGGGGAATAATTGGCAACTTAAAATGAAGGGGCACAGCTGGTGTGTTACATATAGGGACAACTGCTGTAAGCTGCCCCTTTAACCTAAAATTCCACAAGGCATTAATATTTTTGCTGCTCATATAACAAGCTATAGTACACACATTTTGGCAATTAAAATTCATTTCTGAATTCACAGGCACCGAAAATACTTTCTTAGATCAGGGATATCCGGGCTGGGATCCCCTTTACTCTGCTTTAGTTTAGGCCCTATGTGGTATGAGTATGTCTGACTTAGTAAATTAGTCATAGACTAAAATGTACAAATGCCAAGTCTGAATTAAAAAACAAAGCTGCTCATATTATGCAGGATTTATACATAAATAACTTTAGATATATGTGTTTTCTAAAGGATACCAAACACCAGTTAATAAACCAATTTCCTACAAGCGCTCCTTTAATTGCTTTGAAAACATACAGTAAAAAGATGTGCCTTGGAGTTATTACATAAACTTAAGAATGAATTTTATCAGAGATTTTCTGTTTCAAAAGTCTAAATGAAGTCTACTTGGCTATTTTGATGTAATATAAACCAGGGCCATGAGGAAGGGAAGTTCTCATCTCATTTACATTATTGTAAAGCAAGAGTAACTCAATTAAAGTCAATAGCTTTGAACTTGCTTAAACGAGACAAAACCTATAAGGGATTACAAGGTTGTTTTAAGCATGCCCAATAAAAAAAAAAAAAAAAGGTCTTATCAGGTTTTATTTACATTGCCTGCAGCAACCTAAGTTGTACAACCTCACTGAGCCGCTACTAGATCGTTTTTGTATATGCCAAGGATAAAGTGTGCAGTTTAGCACAGCTTTATGCAGTATTTTAAATGCAGATCTCTCTCATTTATGCCAATGTCTTCCCCTCACCAAGTAAAAGCAACAAGGACATCAGCTGCAAAGTCACAAATAGCTTTGAAGCATAAACAGGTAGTGTCTTGAAGATGACACTTGGCAAAGCAAGAGTCTTTCACTCTGCATATTTGGGTTCAGATAGAATGATTTACTATATATCATACTCACAACACATGAACCAAATTACTCTTAAAAAAATAACTTAGGTTTGACTCCAGCAAGTCACTTTGAAAGGCACTGGGCCTAAGATGAAAGTCCTGCAGAGAGGGAATGCACCCTCCATTTAAAGAAATTTTGGTCACAAGTTTTTTTCTATACAGCTAGTCACATTCTGCTCTACTAGACTAAATAATCTGTTGAGATTTTGGATCTCCTGAGATAGCTAGTTATAAGAAATCATCTTTCAACCTTTGTTTTAGGGAAGTTGAGCTCCAAGACTATTACTGTTGGGCTTTTTCAGATCTTGAATCTTCAGCAAGATTTTTTTCTGTTATTGGCCATGTTTTTTAACATTAATACCAAATATTGCCTATTGTGTGCTAATCCAGTAGCTAATGCCATCATCGGCTGCCAAGGAGAGATGGCAACCACTCCTGCTCCTCCCTTACCAAATGCTCCTACTAGCTACTACTCTGCTTACAAACGTTCACATTTACCTGCAAGCCCACACTACAAGCTCTCATCCATTTCAAAAACCGTTCATTTTTGGCTACTGTCTCAATTCTGTCCCTGCCTTAGGTCAGGAAGCAAGGCCCTACATCCCTTCTACCCACCTGCTGCATCTTAAAACGCACGGGTCAATGTATGGAGCCAACGGACAGGGGGAAAACAGCTTGCTGTTTGCCTTGCCTGCCCCCTTGCAACAGGCCCACGCTTTTTTGGTGACACATCAAAGTTTGCTTCAGATCATTGGCTGCATTTGTTCAAACATGGAAAAAGACCAGTCACAAAGGTCACAAGCCTGAGAATTTCAACTTGAAAGATGAAGTGCTGAGCACTGTAAAGAAGCAGAAAGAGGGAGGCTAGAGAGGAAATTAGTGCGTGTTTAAATGCAGCATCTGCCACTGTTATGATGAAGAGAAGAGCTTGCAGTAAGTGACGCTTGCTTTACAAATATGATTGCCTAAGCTGACATTAAGGAAAACCAGACATCCAGATCTCTAGCTCTTCTTTTCCACATAACATTCATGGCACACCTGGGTCAGGGAGGAACAGGATGAGCACCCTCATAAATCCAGTACTTTGTTAGTTGTTAAGGCTGGATGCGAGTTGATTAGTCCTATAGGGAAAACACCCCTTCCTTCCTCTCAGCATACACCGAGAGCTGAAGAGAAGTTGGACCACTGAAACAATCTTCAGACGTTCTTAAAGAGCAGACTCAAGACTTTTCTACCCCTGGGAAACTTGGAAAGCTGAATTCATTGTAAAAAGACACGTTCCCAACTCTGCAAACTCAGGGATATGAAATGAAAGTTGTACTGATTAAAATTTTATTTAAGTACCCAGGATTCCTTGAAATACTTTTGCTGCAAAATAAATGGCCCCATGATGGCACGCTGCAATGGAAATCTTGATGTACGCTTTTTTGGGTATGTGTCTAGCTTAACTGATACACATGGAAGTTTATACCAGGGTAGTTTCCTGAATTTAATCGTGACTGTGGGCAGGCAGAATATTTTGGTGGTAGTAGCCTTCTGCCTTACAAAGGATGGCCTGCTAAAAGGTTTCTTTTTTTCCTTGCACATTGGGCTGCTGACACTGGAACTGTAAATAAATCAAAATGATGACTGTGTGAAGAGCTGGGCAGTGAAAAAGTCTGCCAGAAAGGGCTCTATTGAAAGCTGAGAAATACACAAAGCTTGGGGAACATTAGGAAGCAAGCCTGCTGCATTTATAGAAGTGCAGCGGGGGCATACATCTTTAGTCTCTACAATATTGGTTTATACTAAGCTTTATTTTAAGAGTGATGATTACATTGGCTGAGTTTCAGTCTCTGTGCCAAGGGTGCCAAATAAATATCAAATACTCTCCAGGGCTTCCTGCCACCCCTACCCACTGCATTTGAACCATGCAAATTACACAGAATTGACATTGGAATGCATATGGCTGGGAGAGAACGACGTATTTCCCATCCTTGGGGCATTTTTCATCCTGTTTATGTGAATACAGACATGCTAGGCATATACTGCTAATTCGATGGGTTACAGAACATTCAGCTTGCAGACATTCAACCACTGGCCTGATTTGTAAGGTCCAACTGCAAATTTAAAAACACATGGGTGCACAAGCAAGCTATACCAAAAACCAAAGACGCAGCGGTGCCACCCAGCAAGTTTTTGTTCAGAGCCGTTAAAGATGCTGCTGCTTCCTTCTACATTTTGAAAGGGGAAAGCATTGGATCAACATTGTTCTCAATCAGCTGGAACAATAACCATAAAAATAACCCCTGCACAAAGACACCTCCTTCATTGCTGCACCTCTGCGAGTGTGAGTATGCTACATGCCAGCCCCTAAGCCAGCACTGTCCCTCTCCTCAGCCAGGGGAAACCAGGCCCATGGCAGCATTGCCTAGCTAGGCCAGTAGGGACTTCTCATGGCAGTCCATTCAGTGTCCTGCTCAGCCTGGCCTGCTGCAGCACTGCAGCTGCTGCACGAAGGGCATTTTCTGTTACCAGGCAGAAGGGGGAGCCAAGACTTCAGCTTTTCCCGGGTTACCCAGACAAACACATTCCCCTACACCTCTTGTGACAGACCTGACCTGCTGCTCCTTCCAAGCTGCATGAACAGGCAACTGGTCAGAGGGGAGGGTCGTGGAAAACAGCTACTCTTCTCATCCGCAGACTGGCTTCGGCCTTGCAGAGAAACCACAGTCTTGTGGCACTGCCAAGAACCCAGCTCACATTCTTCACTCCCTGTGGTAGCCACTAGGCCACACGGCCTCCTTCTATGCATTTGCATTTTATTATGCTTTTTCATGCACCAGAGGACAAAAGAACAAGCTACTTCCTCCCACTGAGCTCTCATTTCACACTTCAAATAGGCTATAGTAACCTTTATGGTGGAACAGCTGCCAGGAAGGAGGGGCGGAAGAGGCAGGCAGGGCTACAATGACAGAAGGGAGTTTGAAGAGGAGGCATTAGCTCCTCTCGCAGTGACCTGGCTGGAGCAGAATCAGCTCAGAGCCATGGGCCTCCCGCCCTGCGCCCCTCAGAGCCACCCAGAGCTCGGCAGCCACCTCGCTCACGTCAAGCTGCAGCGCTTTCCACACTCACCTCCCACCGGCAGCAGGTGCTGCTGAGTTGATAGCCTGTACCATGTCCGTGGTGAGCGCATCAAGTAAGCTGGTAATAAACTCGACTTTCTTCCCTTCTGGGCAGCCTGCAGAAAAGAGAAAATAAAAAAAAAGAAAAAAAAAAAGGAAAAAAGGAAAAAAAAAAAAAAAGAGGATGTTTAATGTGAGAATGTGCGGGATGGGTGTCCAGTCCGAATTCAGCAAGGAACAGCCAGAGCCGCCTTTGTTTGAAACACGGCAGCCATCAGTGCAGTTCCCAAAGAAAGGCTGAAGAGTCCCACAGTGGGATTCTCTGCTTGGCAATTTGTCCTGCCGCTTTTATCCAGGCACACACAGGGTCATCAACAATATCTGGCAGGAGGACTGTGTGGTTAAGCTTTACAGCCTCTCCCAGTTCCCTACCAGCATAACCATGGGGAGGTGCTGGAAGGGCCTGGCAGACAGGAATTCCCATGGTGACACTTGCAGAGAAGTTTACAAAACAACTCGCTACCTCCTGAGTCATCCTCTTCTGGAAATGTGGTTGTTCTGAGCTCCTAACTGACAGCTTAAAGCTTCCCAAAGCATGGGCCAAAGCAAGCGCTGCCGCCTGTACTCTCCTTGGGCACAGAGCACGTTGCCTGCCGGGAGCTTCCACAATAATCCAGCGCTTTGCACAATCACACTGCATGGGAAAGTCGTCAGACGAAGCCATCGCATGGCAAGAGCCTCAAGTCACTGCTGGTTTAGGCAGGATGAAGTGTCTGAAGAGGAGCTTGGTAACCATTTCCATTACTTAGTCCCGAGACCATCCAGTTATCCACTATCATAACCACAGACCTACAGAGCTTCCTTGCCCTAATGGTGTTAACCTCATATGGGCTGAGAGGAAAATCTATATCTCCTCACCTCTGTGAGGCTATCTGTGAAGTTTCCTTGCTTTTTCCTACTATCCTTGAATGTATAGAGAAAAGAGTAATAGCTATGCTCCATTTACCATCATATTAATATTACACACAAAAATCACTTTTAGCCTACCAAGAAACTACTTATCCCCATCACCTCCAGACCTGGCCTCACTTTGCACAAAGCCTTTTTGGTCACAGCTTTTGATCACTTGGGGTTCCCCCAGTTCCCCCACTGTCTTCTCTGATGGGACATGGAAGGGATCACCTTATCCTTTACTTCCTCTCTTTCCCCAAATCGCCATTTACTGCCAATTAGTCACCTGATTAAGAAAATGGATATCAAGAGAACAGTGGCCCCCTAGTAACAAGTAGCAATGTCAACACTTTCCCAGGCAAGCAGAGAAGCACATGTACCCAACAAGAGAGCACCAGAAACTTACCTTAATCCCTTGACAGCTGAAAGCAGCTTGCAAATTGCTCTAACAAAACTCTCTCCTCTGCAGTATTACAGGCTCTGTTCCCTGCAATATCCACCCAACAGTCCCTAGTCTGTCTCCATATTATGTGCATTACACACACGCACACCCCTTAGCACTCGTTTGGCACATGGTCCATAAAACGTCAGCATTGTAATGGGTAAGCTGCTATGGCAGCCAGAGTAGACCAGTCACTTAAAGGAGCTTTTTGTTGCAGTAATGAGAAGGTTGAACACCATTTGCTAGAAGTCATCTCCCTGGGGTCTCAGCATCTCACCGTCTGCAGGAATTAGCAGCTTGCTATTTGCTATGTGCAAGCAACACTTTCCTTCCTTCTTTCTTCTGGCTCTAATGGGAACAGCCAGGATATAGTTTTTGAAGAGGGCATTTGTAGGTGTGCAGGAATTTGTACTTAGGTCTCTCCTACCTTGGCCTCTGCAGGGTCTCTTCATGCAAGACAGGGACATCCTGCCTGCAGCACTTAGGGTCTCAGGAATGGGGAAATCTCCAAGGTAAGAAAAAGAACGAGGTAAGAGGGGTAAGTCCCCCTCACACAGCTGAGGGCTAATGGAAGGATCTGGCTCAAGGTGATTGTTACCAGAATTGAATTTTACAAAAAGAAAAGCAGAAGGAGAAACAATAAAGAAAAGAAAAAAAAAAAAAGGAAACATCCTCTCACTCCTTCCGTGCAGTTCTGACTCATCAATGAGTCTTCACATCCAAGTGCAGCTAAGCAAGCACACCTCAAATCTCCATCCAGAGACCAAGCAGTACAACATCTCTCCAGGTCACAAACCAGAACCAGTAACTCTTCTGCTCCATATTCTAGTTCCTCAATAGACCAGTATATGCTGTGGCAGGATCCTCTCTCAAGTCAATGCAGTCTAGCATAGAGCTGAAGTCTACTCAGATATGGAAAAAGTGCTTGAGCTGAGAGAAGCTCCCCTGAAGCCTTATGATGGGACCTGACCATTTAGAGTATCATGAGCCCCCTTCTACCTCACAAAGTTTCTGTTCCTTTGTCCAGTTGCAGCTGCAGTCCAGAGGTGAGAGAGAAGTAAGAAGAAACCAATCTGTGTCCTTGAGAGATCAGAAAGAGGCTTTCAAAGAAAGAGCTCCAAAGCAAAGGATTTTTAAAAGAGGAGTTCCAGAGAGGCAGGGGGGAGTGCATGGAAAGGCTATAAAGCAAGGAGAGAAGAGGCTGGGGGGGGGAAGGAAGGTTATTCTATTCAGCATGCTATTCAAAGGAAATGAGCCTTAATGTAATCATTTAGCTGATCTGCTCGTTTCCTCCCCTATCCTCTACAAAGTGATACTTGAACCAATTGGCCAATTTCACTCAAATGTGAAAGGAAGACAGATAAGAAAGTCCTACAGGTCTTATGAAAATGAGCAGCTGGACAGGAGAGAGCTTTGCTGAGGGCAGAGTTGCTAACCAGAGAGCTTAGGGGCTCAACATCAGGAGCTGGCATGGCAGAATTAGGAGACACAGGACGCAAATCAAGAACAAACCTGATGTACTTTGCTAATGTCCTCAGGGACAGTTCACTTTATGCTAGTCCTGGAAATGGCTAGAAAGGATCCAGCGCTGCTGGCCATTTCTGCAGCGCTCTCACCCTGCTACCACTTCCTCAGAGCAGAAAGGGTCTGACTGAAGCCTCGCTTTCCAAGCAGTCAGGCTCTCACCCAGGAGAGCAATGGCTAATCCCTCCGTGAAGATCCCTCACTCTACTCCATAGAAAGGCAGAGGGAAGGAGAAATAAGAGCAAAAGCAGGTAGAATGTCATTCTTGAGAGTTGTGCAGACAGCAATGCCCAGTACCAGCTCCTAGCAGGAGCAAGGCACACAACCAGTAAATTATGGCTTGTTGCTTAGTTAAGAGGGCATGCAAGCAGCAAAGGGAGAGAGACTGGCTCCCAGGCAGGAAATGAGGGATCCAGCTGCCAACATTAGCTAAGGGACCTTAGAGCACTGGCAGTGCTGCCCTGCCTGGACTGCTGTGGCGGGGCACTGACAACAGGCAGCGGCGTCCATGCTCACTGCTCAGGAGGCATCGGGCTGCTGAAAGCTAAAGCACTGCTAAATGGAAAAGATCCTGTCTCAGGCAGGCTTTGAAGAGCTTTCAATGCTTTCAAGGCCATACTTTCCCCAGGGGATCTCCAGGCATACTGTTTCCTGAAAATTCTGATTTCAGATGCACTTTCAGAGAAGGGCGCACAGGCAATAAACCAGTCTCCAGGGCACTTTTTTTTTTAACATTACATTACTGAAACTGGAGAAGATCCACAATAACAAAGAATAAAATTCATGGTAAAATACAAACAATGGGTGGAAACCCCTCCCCATCTCCTGAACAATATTGTTGACCTCTTCAGAGGCTCAAGGCAAGAAAAAGGGAGAAGACAAAGACAGGCTCCCATTTCTCTCTGACCTGGAAGTTCTCTGTCCTTGAATGGATCATCAATCTCTGTGCTCTTCGATCTGGCATCGCTTTCACACACCGGGGTTTCATAGCTGAAAAAGGAAAATAACAGATCCTGAACCATGGGATATACCTTTAGCTTCGTAAGATAGTTGCTAGGGGTCTGTCTCATTTGCTCACTATAGGGAACATGATCAACAGCCTGTAGAAACTCTTGTCAAGCATCAAGCTTCTTAAGGATAGTTAGCAACGCCAGGAGAAAGCAGAGAACACAGCAACCTCTGAAGTCCAATACAAGCTACAGTCTAATAAACAGTACCAGGTCCTCATTCAGCTCTCAGTGGCACGGATAGTGCTTTTATTCAAAGCCGCCCATGTACTGCACATTCACCGTATCCAGCAAGTGTTCAAGGCCCAGCTTCTAGCAGCCTATCTTTATGAGGTGCCAGGCCCAAAACTTGGTTTCCAAATGAAAAGAGAACAGGTTTAAAATACTGAGGCACTTAAAGACAAATATATCTTTACCTTAAAAACTATCAACACACAACCAAGACCCCCCAACAAGTACTGATGAGGATCCAGGTAGCTGCAACATGGAAATACAAAGCAGAGCATAATGCAAAAAAGCTACCTCCTTTTTCCATCACTCATGCTCCTGGCTTGTACTCTAAATAAAGGCCAGATGCCTGCTACCACCAAGCCCTAGAAGATAGGGCTGCTCTGTCAGAAAACAGAGGAAAAAGCAAAAGCAGTATGCAGTATGATGCAATGCATTGCTAAGCTCTAGGGAAGGTAATATAGTGAAGGATGACTGCCGTGGAAATGGGAACTCATTAAGTGTAGCAATTTTAGTTTTTTCACATTGCATTTTCTCTTGGCAGGCACCTCTGCAGATTTCCAGTTGATTTCAAGGTCTACAACTCTTACCGCGTAGAAGTACCGGGCAGGGGGCGTCCTGTGTCCACCAGGACACACCAGCAGTACCCAGTTGACTGGTGGCATTGCACAGGTTTGTACAGCCCTCCCGGAGCACACTCGGGGATGACGATGCCCTCCCGAGGGTTCTGCCTTGCCTCTTCCAGAGCGCTCTGTCTTTCCTGGTCGCATGAATGAACTTTCTCTGGAAGATAAGGAGGGTAGAGTGGGATAGAAGGAAGAATAGTCAAATCAAGATCACCTGCAAAGCAGACTGGTCCCAGGAGTCCTCCAAGGCCTGTGCCCATTCACAGTAAACACCCTCGAAGTGAACACCAGGATGCCTGTAATCCCTTCCCTCCCTAGGGACTGAGAGGAAATTCTGGGTGGAGAGCGCTTCTTCCTACAGTCAGTTGTGACACTACAAAATTAAAGATTACAGATGTAGGCTGTCAAGTGTCTAGCAAGCCAGGATCAGCAAGAGAACAGCCAGGTGTTCCCATAAACCCAAATAACCCAGGTTTTAGAACACAACATTGGCTAACATTACTTCATTGCTACTTCAGTCCTGAGTAAGCAGTTCCCAGGTGATGTTTTCATATACTCAAAGCTCCTCATTTGTGACTTGTGTTTTCCAGTTAAATGAGGGAGGCAAACACTCTTCCCTGTTCTCACAATCTCTTCTCCAAAGTGCCTTGGCTGGTCCATTTTTCCCTTTCAGTAGTGTCCCTTCAGCATGAGCCTGAGAAAGCAACTGCCTTTAATATTGCCTTTTCCAGGGGAGAGAGCACGTGCACACATCTCTGCAGAATGAGATACTCTTCTCCCTCAACTGCCAGCACCTCTCCAGCACACTCACCCCAGGCCCCCTTGGAAAACAGATGGACCCAAGTGTTGCCTCCTTAAGCACCCACTCTGAGGGACCAAAGGTAGGATCCTATTCCTCAGTAGCTTATTATACAAAATAGGTTATTTCCCAAAGACAATGTGAACTGGAGAATAACAAGCATCAAAGAACAGAAATCCATAAAGCGCCTTCTAGAGCCTGCCTGGCACCTTCTGACCAAAAACCTCTTCTTCTGTCACTGGTCACAGAAGAATAATATATAGAGAAGTGCCAGGCTGCTGCCTCTTAAATGGACCAGCCCCTAGAGAGGAAGAGTTGCACACAGTCTCCACAGGACATTAATATCCAACAGACAGAAGTTCTCAGGGAGAAGTCTATGGCTCTTTGAGGAGTGGGAAGATGATTGCATCTTCAAAAACCACCAAATATATTAGCCAGAAAAAAAGGTGCATGTAGGAAGAAAGCAACCAAAGATAAGGAACACAAGAGTAAGACAAGACTAAGTTTAGGGTAAAAAAACAAGACAAAGCAACTCCTACCTTTATCCTTAAGAGAATGATGAAAACCAGACAGTGGAATAGAAGAGCTCTCACTCCCCAGCTTTCTTATTCCCTGCAGTTTACTTTTTTCTCCTTTTCTTTTTTATAACCCACAGCACCTGAAATTCTTTTCCAGTGCCAAGAATCACCTCCAGCTTTCAGTATATAAAATGCTTCAACGCTGTGGCATGCAGCGACACAACAGGTTCACCGAACCTGCAGATGTTTCCGTGGCCAGCCAGCAGACATGGCATTACATAAGCATCCTGCCCAGAGGACAGGCACGGCACCAGTGTTCTCCCACTAAGCAGCTTCCATGTATTTTGCCTACTTGTCCGTATCAGTTATGCCTTGTTGATAAATTTTGGAGTAATTCTTGTTCTGCATCTGCAGAGCACAAGGAGTCTTGTTTCATAACTAGAATTCTTCAGGATTTGCTGGCAGATCTAACACAAATAACTCCAGCTGTTCCGCACAGCACAACCTGAGTAGAAGTGCTTTAGGTGCTAGAGACACTACCATTGATTTCTAACTGAACTGTAGAAGCTAAAGTAAAGAGTTTCAAAGACCCACAGAGGTCTCCACTCCTCAGTAGTTCAGACTTTTCTTGAGGCTGGGAATATGAAAGGTACCTGAACTTTGCCACTCACAAATACACACCTGAAATGCAGAATAAGAACTTGAAGTGTCGGCAAGTCTGACTCAAGCAGAGAGAAACTTGATCGGGAAGGAGCCGGAGGGAATAAAATCAACAAAACCTTGAAGGGAGCTCAAGCCTCAGCTGATATTTAAGCTGACTTCATTTTGCTGACAGATTTCATGTCTTTAAATAAAGGTCCTATGACTGGTCCCAAGCTGTATGTGGACAGAGAAGCCATTCAGCGTGTGGCCCACAAGCTTCTTAACCAGCCAGTTACATCACAGGTGCCAGCCTGCTCAGGGGCCGTTTACACCATGGCCATCAGGTGAGCAGCTTGAGAAAGCAAAAGGATGGCCAGAATCCCCTGCCTACCATCATTTTATGTAATAAGAAAAGGGAAGAATAACTTCTGATGAGAACTACATTCCATGCATTTTTCTGTCTAAATCCCGGAAGCTTCCCAAGTGCACAAATTCAAACCACAATTTCTCCAGTTCTTTGAGTCTTACAAAGCTAGCAATAAAAATGTATCTAGAAAAAAAGTGCCAAAGCTTTTTGAGGGGTTAGGACAAGAAAAAAATACTACTTTTTATTGAGAACAAAGTGATTTATAAAAAAGAACTTCTCTTCTAATGAGTATCTTATTTTACATATGCAGACAGTAAGGTATGCAAGTTACATAGAGGACAAATGTACAGCTTAAACAATGCTTGTACTATACCATAAAAATTGGAAGAATTTCTCTGCACATATCAACAGATATGCGTGGGAATAGAATGGTCAAAGAATTTGCTCCAAAATAGAGCCAGTTGATAGTCACTCATATTTGAAGGGTGTGTAAAGGTTGAATACCATGAATTTTGCAGTTCTTGTTCAGACAACAAATAGATGCAAAAAGCGCCATTGCTACCAATACTAAGTTGCCCTTCATTAGAAATCCTAGCAGTGCAGCCAAGAGCAGGGTGAGTAGATGCTTTTCCTCCTCTGTAACATGCTCCTAGAAAGCAGTCAGCCTCTATAAAAGTCTCATCTCTGCCATCACTCAGGCTCAGAATGGTTGAGGTTGGAAGGGACCTCTAGAGATCACGTAGTCCAAACCTCCTGCTCAAGCAGGGACACCACTGCCTGTGCCTGTAGGAATCACCAGATTCAACACTGAGGTTGTGCCCAACCAGCCCAAGCTGCATGAGCCACCCTCTGGGTCTCTGAGAAGCCTGGCAGCTCACACCAAGACCATTCAGACTGTACTTGGCTCATTTCTCCAGCGCACATGACCACACTGTGCATCCCAGATTCTCCTGCACTCTACCATCTATCACATCCTGAAGAACATAAGAATCAGCCATACTAAAGCAACGAATGGCCCAGCTCCTCTCTGCCTCCTTTTTAATGTTGATCAAAAGCATGTGCTAAGAGAAGACCAGAGGGACAGGACAACTATATACATGGTTCTCCCATGTATTCATCAAATCTCAACCATTTGTTAGTCAAACTTGCAGAAACAGCCACAGACTTCTTAATTCAGTAAATACCAATGGGTTCCTGTTCCATATATTTACCGTCTCCCCCCCTCATAAACTTTTATTGCCTATGACATCCCACAACCCATTTTGCAGCTTGACTACACATCATGAGTGGAACACAGCATGTCCTTTGGTTTTACCTAAACCTGGCTCTAGCTAGTTTACTTGCTGAACCTAGTTCTTCTGAAGGAAGAGACGGTGTGCATTCATTTTGCAGTCATTCTTCTCTGCTTCTCACTGTTCTATACATTCCTATTCATATCTCTTTTATATGCTGAAGAGTCCCAGCTGACCCAGCTGTTCCTTCTGTGAACCTGTTCCAGACCTACTACATCTTCCTTGAATGAGACTCACAGCAACAAACATATTGGCATTAAATGGTAGCTCTGGGAAGAGCCTTGTGGAATGCTCCTTCAGGAACATCCATCTGCTAAGCAGACTAGCACAGCTCTCTGAAGAGGCTCTTTCCTCCAGGCTGTCACTCTAACAGCACTTAATTTCCTTGAGAATAAACAAGAATATTAACAGATAGGGTATGTTCTAACAGCTGGCAAGATCAGCTGGGAAGCCTGTACCATCAGCAAAAATATCCATTTTACCTTAACCATTCAGCTCTAAAATGCTAACTATCTGTTATTTTTCACCCTTGACTGTTTCTAACGCTCCTTAAAACATTTTTGTAAAAGTAATGTCTCTGAAGCCGTGAACTATTGCAGTAAAAGAGGACTAGGACATCTACAGATGCACTTTCTGTATGAAACAACTTTCTCCTAGTAATGGCCTTCTGAGAAATACGTCGTCACATTCAAAGAAAGGTGTCTCATTCCTGGTCCTGCAAGCATTCACATTCAAACATATATCTAGTGCCTTCACACTAGAAATAAAAATGACAAATGAGGTTAGGGACTCATCTGACTGTCTAATAAACTAGATGGTTATTAAAGAGATGAGGTGTTTGTTTACCTTAGAAAGCTGAGAAGAAAGAGGTGTTTAACTGCTTCTAGCCAGAGGCTTCTGCTCAACAGCTCTCCTGCTCAGCTTGCAGGGCTGGACACAGCCAAACTCCGCTCTGGAGACTGGGCAGCCTCCCCCCTTCCCTCCTGTCACGCAACAAGTGGCTTTGTGTGTAGAGCCAAAGGATGAAACCCCGATGGTTGTGGCTGCAAGGATGCTGCGGATGAGTGGGTGGGACAGAAGAAGGATTTCCTGTCCAACACAGCAGATCATTTGTAAATATTCTTTTACACCCTTTTTTTTGGTTAAAAAAAGATGATAAAAAAGAGTGAGGGAGACTGACCATGATACCACCTAAAATGACCACCTTGGAGAGAACCCTACATCCTTGGAAGACGGGAGTAGCTTTTTCTTCCAAATCAGGCAAAATAGACAGTGTAGCTTCTTTCTATGCTTCTTCCCCAGTGAAGTGATGTGAATAGCCTGACCCCAGAGCAGGGCAGATTAAAAAAAATTTCCCTCCCTCTCTTCTTTCGACCAGAAACTTTTCCCATAGAGTCCCCACAAAAAGCTTCAGTTTTAATGAACAAGCATTATTCAGAAGGGGAGGAAAAGGCCTTTTACTCCAAGATTCTTGACCAGTCGCCATTGTTAGTGCTGCAACAGGGACCTGACTTCAAAACACCATTAAGAAAAAAAATC